GTGTTTTCATGGCCTGCACTGAAGTCACATGAGCTGTCATTGTGGTGGCCTTGGAAATTTTTGCAACGTGAACTGTGTACTATCGCTTTTCTTTTAACAGGGAAAGTAGAATTCGCACGGGCATGGTGCAAGGACGTCAAGTGCCAGCCATGTGAAGCGATAAATAAGCCGAACATGCGTCTTTTTGCCTTCTGAGCTATGCGACGCCGCAGATTCAGACTGAGGGAAATGACCACATTCACGATTGTCCCGGGATCATCATCAACGCCCGCCTTGGTTCACGGACGTACCGAATGTGAAGAACGTGGCATTTGTAAACAGAGGGATAATTATATCTAATATGGCCCGAGCTCTCAGGGTGAAATACGCCACGGCGCATTTTTTTTTCTTTTGCAAATATAAGATGGGTTTGAAAAGGGCCGAGATGTAAAGCGGCCGATAGAAACCGGGTAGGTAAAATGAACTTTGTGAACTTAAGTCCCGGGATAAAAATCACGCTTGGCGTTTCTAGCGTTTCTTACAAGAACCGACATAAACTACTAGCAAACGCGGGAGAGAGGTGTACCACGAGACAACCAGCGAGAGCTGCACCACAGTTTCCTTTCAGAGGTCGCTCCATAGACGCTCATTTTAATGAGCTGCGCCGCCATCTGCTTCAAAGTGCCCCACGAAGCACGGGCTCGTGCATTGGCGTATTTGATGATTTCATGACGCTTGCAAGATATACAAACACATCAAGGGGCTTTGCTGAAGCGTGTGACACTTCGGTGTGACCACGGGGTGTGACCTAGGGACTCGCGGAGCGTTAGATTACGTGGTACGTTCTTACCGCTAGATTGGTTGCAAAGGTGACCACGGCATCGGCCGTGGTCACCATAAAATTGAAAGTGAAAGCTCATCGCGCGGCCGTGAGACACAGAATGTGGCCATGGCATCACTATGCCATACATGCGTCGCCTCTCATTGGTCCTATTTTTTGTGTGGTGCAGCACACAAATTTCACGCAGGCCATTCTGCGACAGAAGGGCAAATCTAGGGTGCCTAGGCAAAACTGATCTCGGCAGTGTCAATCAAAGGACTCGTGCAGTGAGTCGCCATGCGTGCAAGCTCGTAAAAATAACAGGAATAACAACGAATGCTGTGGCAAATACTTTACTAGGGGGAATACATTCCACTCCTCTCAAATACAATAGCCTCGGCGCGGACAGGTTTTCTGGGCTTGGCGAGAGCCATCTATCGTCGTGGAGGTCTCGGCAATCGGGCGGTAAACGATGATATTGATGATGGTTGTTCTACATACCAAATTCATTGTTGTGGAAATGCGCGAGACACGTGCCGAACGCCACTCCTTAGAATAACATAGCGTCTAAAATCTAGCTCAGTGGTGCGCTAAATACTTTATTGCGCTGTGCCGCCATGATCTTCCCAAGGGTTGCACGTTGCACGTGCCTCGTGCATCGACGCACCTTGCGCTACTTTTGAAACATGATTTTAGATGGAATCAGAGACGACACCGCCGCGGCCGCCGCGAACATCCACGTGCACTTGTGCGTCGACTGACGCGAACCTCCACACCGCCAGGGCTGGATTCCGCGCTCTATGCGTTCTGTCTAATGCAAATGAGCAGAGTGGAAAGTATTCCCCCGAGTAAAGTATTTGGCTGTGGCTTGGGGGATCTGGTACTGGTGTCGCCATCTCGTCTAACCCATTGAAAACAAGTCAGTCGAAAACGGCCCTATCCTATTTATTTACATAAATACGCAAATACCAGGACATTTAGGCTTCCTGTAAGGGTCTTAAAATTACGATACGAGACGCCTCTAGTACATACTACCACTATTTCCGTTACTTTTGTCATCTACGTGATTTTAATTTTAAAATTGCCTCATAAGTCGCTTAAAAACGTCCATATGGTCTTATTTCTGGATTTTAATTAAAAATCTCCAGCGCTCCGAGAAAAAATCCAAGGGTCGTACGACCTTCAATATATCTTCACAATGAACATAAAAAGTAATCAATACTGCCGTGTATTGTGTGCGTGTTCGCCACGTATAGCGAACACGACCTATTAAGCCTAGGCATGCAACGGCGGGTGGATGCAACCGGAGACACCGGCAGGGGAGAGCGGAACGGCGAGTCACATAGAAGCACGGGACGCCTGAAAAGAACAGACTGGGCGCTGTTGCCAACCTGAAAAGACGCTTCTCATAACACCAACAAATTGAAACCTAAATACTTTGATAAATATATCCTTGCATCATCCCAAATTAATCGATACATTACAAATACTCCGGTGCATTCCCGAAACGCAAGTTTGTGTAGCAAAATTTGCTCATTGAGTGACGCGCGGGTATAGAAGTTTTAAGTAAGCAACGTTCTTGTACCGACAACCGCCGCTTTGCGTTGGACAACTTTCCTTTTACGGCGAAAGACGTTATTGGCGAGTTGTCGCTGTTGATCCCATGTCTGTTTATTCGTGTAGGACCGGACTGTCATATGACGGCACGTGACGTAACAATGCCAAGTGACGTCGCGGAGCCACGTTACATCAATGTGTCATGTGGTGTCACGATGTCACCTGATGTTGCGGTGTCATCCGCGTCGCGAAGCACCACTTCTCCCTGCAGAGAATTTTAGCGTGGACGTGCACTGGTGCTAGAACACGTATAGACTTTGCGAGAGACGAATTTGTACAACGATGACACAAATTCCACCACAAAGTATGTCGCTCTGCTGGACCTTGTGTTTGACAAATACCCTCACAGTGTCGATCACCTTGGTTACACACTTGAGTACCAAACCTGTAAAATGTGTAGTACGCTAATAACTTCTGAATAATGATGTATTATCTTTGTGTGAAGTGTTAGTGTATGGATACTTTCGAGAAGCAAAGCGTGCAGCATCTAGACTGTCGCCACAGTTCATCTGCAAGACACGGCCAGAAACCGGGAATATGTTTTTAACTGGCTAGAAGACGTTAGCGTGAACCAGCTGCACGTACAGACCTTTCCTATAATCGCCTTCTGCGCGCTGGCATCTTTTTCTACTGGGCTGTTAAACGGGTTCTGAGCGTGTGCAGTGGCTCTCTTTCGCGAAATGTAAGACGCCGCGCATGCGTCCACAACGCAGTGACTTAGCATTTTTTGCCTGGATTATGAGCGCTGGAAAGGTCTAAGGACGGCCCTGTGGCAGGATCTGAAGAAGGTGACGTAAGCGCGTAAAAGCTGCAGATAAGAGGAACGCGCAGTGGCGTGATATAGAGGCTATATGTGAGCGACAGGCAAAGGATCTGTAATGCAATCGCATTACATTTCCGTTAGCAGCAAGCAGAAAAGAGCCGGATTATGTTTTTTTCTTTTTGCGTTTTTTGTTTTGTTTTGAGAGAATAGTTGTTTATTTACAGTCACGGAGAGGTCAACCTGCATAAAAGCTGATTTGCTACTTCGTAAAGGAGTGGGGGTAAGGTTGGGGGACAAGAAAGGAAAGAAAAAAAGAGAAAAAAAAAGGTTTAAAAATTATATATAATAATACGTATTTACAGTATATACATCAACTGCTATAGCAGCTTGAATAATTGAGTATGTGAGAGAAAATGAATTTGTGTTTTCGTGGCCTTATGTGCGTCTCCAGACGTTAACCACGGCCCAAGAGGGTGGTGTAGTTCAAGTTTTTCATTTGGTCCTAGTCCTAGCTGTATTTTTAGCGTCTTTCTTTCAGATCATATTTCTTACATATACACAATAGATGGTCACTGTCTTTGGGTGAAGAACATGAAGAGCACATGGGTGATTCTTTCTTGCCAATAATATGGAGGTATTTCTTTGTATATGCGACGTTGAGACGCAGTCGATGAAGTGTTGTCTCTTGAGCTCTTGAGAGGCGTCGTGGCAGGCAAAATTCTAATTTGGGGTCAATCTGTTTTAGGTATTTGTAGTAATAATGTGGGTCTTTCTAAAACGACGATGTTATTTCACTGCCGATTGTTCGAGTGAGGGTGTTGGAATCAGTTCTTGAAAATGGAATGAGGAAAGTAGCGGTTTCTTTGTGAGCTTCTCTGGCTGCGTTGTCTGCACAAATATTTCCAGTAATTCCGCAATGCCCTGGCATCCACTGGAGAACTATATTGTGCCCCTTAACCAAAGCTTTTTGGTGGATCTCTAGGATTGCGTGAATAAGTTGTATGTTTGGACTTTGTTTACGGAGTGAAGAAAGAGCTTGAAGAGAAGAAAGAGCTTGAAGAGAAGAGTCGAAGATTATCACCCATTGGTGTGGATTTTGTAGAATAATATTCTGCATGGCTGTTCTGATCGCCGCGAGCTCTGCAGCAGCCGAGGACGTCACATGACTTAGTATGTTTCTTTCTACACGTGCAAATATAAACTTCTCACATACATCGCAGCTTGGTCACAACGCTTCTCCGATTTCAGTACACTCTGAGTGAATGACTGACGCGTTTAGCAGAGACTTAACAAAGAGCCTTATATGTTTCGCCAATGAAGCAAGAAAAAAGTAGCGACTTTTTTAATCTAACTTCCAAGCCATGCTAATAAACTAATAAAAACGTGACGTCTCTCCCGATTACTCGGGAATTTATTATAGCCGGTGATAGGTCAAGAACGAAGTGGAAGCTCCTCCCACCTCTTTCCACTTCATAAGTGCAAACGCTGGAGAGGATGCGACCACCTCTCTACTATTCACTCCGCTGAGGTGGAAAGGGATGGGAGGAGCTTCCACTTCGTTCTTGATCTGACACCTATGCCCCTTCAACTCAGTCAGTCTACTTGCTCATCTTATTGACATCACAGCTACTGCTACGCGTCACAGGGCGTCGATACTTTTAACGGCTATCAAATGGACGATGCTGAAATTTCGGTATTTATTACTGAAGGGTTTGTCATGCTACCGAAGGAGCGCGAAGATGCAGTTTACGCTATTCCTTCTTTTTATCTCTCTCTCTCTCTCAAAAAAAAAAAAGAAAAGAAAGAACAAAAGAAACTCACCGGACGAATTCACGAAGTACGAAAATGGAGCTCCGCATTCCAGCCATTCTGGTGTACGGCACGTACGACATGATTGTGCTGAGCCACACCGGTTTGGAGTCTACAAAGTTGCCCATACGAAATCCTTGTAGAATTCTCACAAGGGTCTGCTCCAACTCTCCGTGTTCACGGTCGCTGAGCTTGTAAGTTGTACCAAACAAGATGGCACTGATGATATCAAATGAAATTGTGAAAAAGCAATCTGCGAGCGGAAGAGTGGATCCTTGGGCATCTCCAATCTTATTCAACAAGGACCGCATCTGTTGCTGTTCAGGGTGCACAAAAGGATGAATGGCAAAAACTAGAAAAACAATAGCATTAAAAGGTTAAGAAGCGCAAACAAGACAAGAACAATAAAAACACAAAGACAGCACGTGCGCTAATTCACAACTTATTTTATTAGAACAATTATCGTTCCTTATATACACAAAATCGTTTGCCGCAGCTACAATACAACCAATCACCACTCTCACAGGCAGTTACCTAGAAAAGTTACTTTTTTTTTGGAGCAGAAAAAAGAAGAAAAAAGAAGGCAGGGTAACGCAGTTGTCATCTTTCCTTTTGATGTAAAACGCCTCTATAATCTTTCTCTCGGTTTTATCTTTTGCTCTCTTTAAAAACCCTGTTGCATCCAAAAGAGGTTTACAGTCAGCGCATCGCCTGCACCGGTCAGCAATTTGCCCTACCGCGTCGTTGCGCACAGAAAGATTATGTTCCATTACCCTATCGTTAAAACAGCGGCCGGTTTGTTCAACATAAACTTTTCCAAAGCTTCACGGTATCGCGTATGTAACATTAGTGACACATTTAGTGTACTGCACTGCGTGCGTCTTAGAGCAGAGTGCTTTTTTCAACTGAGTAAGCATCAGACAGACTTTCGAGAGCTTGTAAGGGGCCGAGAAAACAACGTTTACATCGTATCTGCTAGCAATCTTTTTAATGTTGTGAGACACTTTATGCAGTATGGAATCACATGTACAGGTCTTTTAACTTAATTTGTCTGGCTGCAACCTTGTAGGTTAGTTCTATTTATTTTTTGAAGTGGGCTCTCACACCAGCTCGAAATTAAGTTAGATAGGTAACCTACATTCTTTAACCTTTTTACTTGCAGAGCAAAACTGATGGCCATCTGGTATTTGCAAGTTTTTGCAGGAGCTGCTTGAAGACGCGTTAAGGCTAACCTCTCTTGACCCGTTTGTAATGTTCACCTTTGTAAGAAACGAGGCTTTTTTTGGAACGCGGGCTATACGTTCAAGAAACAAGGTCGTCGGAAAACATGACCATAAGGTCCAAACAACGAATGCAGTTCTGCACGGGCATCTCTCATGTAAACTTAAGTCCACCTGACGCTTCTATAGAAACATCGACGATCCCCGCAATAACCGGGAGGACGACGACGACGACGCACCTAAACGGGTGCTTGATTCCTCACCTCTGCAAGTAAATCAGTTTTTTACTATTATTTTGGTAATTTAAACTACAACCCCCCTGGGAGCGTTCGCAAAACCTCTTGGGCAGTCATCCTGACCGACGCCCGTACTCCGAGCGACGCAACCATGAGCGAATCCACCCCCGGCTCTGAGAGCTTCGATGACAACGATATAGATGACGCAGAAAAAGAGGGTTCCGGCTGGACCCTCAACTGTAGGAAGCGACGCCACCTCTCTGGGGGCTCTGCTTCAAGTCAAGCCACCATCATTGATGCCCATCACGAGAACCGCACGGTCATCGTCAAACCCCTAGACCCGACAAAGCTCATCGCGAAGCTTAACCCTCTAACCCTATCTGAAGAGCTAGATTCCATCACACCCCATGGAGTGATTCAAATTCGACCGAACTACAGACTGAACCTCCTTGCAATTGACATGCGGGACAACAGCTCCATGCAAACGATCCTTACTTTAACAATTCTATTAGGAATCAAAGTCCAGACCTACGAAGCTCACCCACGATCTTCGGCCTTAGGAATCATTCGTGACGTAGACAAGGACATCACAGAAAGCGACCTCAAAGGCTATAAGCGCAACTACGCCAGTCATCCCAGTCAAAAGGCTAGGCGCTTCAGAAACGGTGAAACTTGTCTTTGCAACCGAGACCATGCCAGAACACGTCGTTGTGGGGCATATACGCTTCAGAGTACTGCAGTACACCGACAAACCACGACAGTGCCACAAATGTCGGCGGTTCGGGCACATTCAGACCGCATGCCCCCATGTGCAAGTTGCAGCCGCTGTGGCGGCACTCACGACCGCATCGACTGCCAAGCCGACCAACCTAGGTGCGTCAACTGCAAAAGAAAGCATGAGGCGACCTCTCGAAGCTGTCCCTTTTATAAAACGGAAGCAGCTGTATCGAGCTATCGTCAAACCCACAAGGTCAGCTACCCACTAGCGAAATCAGCTGTCCTCTCCCACAACAAGAACAAAACCGCTGGAACTCTGAATCCATCTTCCAGGAACAGACAAAACGAGAAAGTGGAGGATGCTATGATGCCGCCACTAGACGACGATCACTTTCCTGCTCTTCCACGTCAGTCAGCTGCGTCCACATCCGCATCAACTAGCGTTGGACCCGAAACATCACCGCGGCAACGCCAGGACAACTTCGCAAGAGTGATAAAAACTTCTGCTCAAAGGGCTAGCGACACAACGTACCGATGTCGTACCCAAGGCTCCGACAATAATACTGAACCTCAAGGACTAGGATCCGCGGTGTACACCCTTGCGACGCTACTTCGTACCTTTCTGGCCACACTGGAGCACCCGCTCGCACGAGCAGGCATTACCCTAATTGACTTCACATTACCTCTCGTCCACTCTTGGATCAAGTAGACTCAGGCAACTGCCAGAGCCTTAGCAGATATTAATACCAACACCATGCTTGATACCCGAACGATCCCCAAAAAACGATCACAAACCCCAAAACGCCTTAAAAAACTTCCATCTATCATCCAATGGAATACCAATTCGTTCCACCGTCGCCTGCCAGAGCTTCGTCGCAGACTCATCGAACTTAAAACAGACGTACTTGCTCTGCAGGAGACATACACCCAAAAGGGTTCCCAGCGAATCTCCCCTTCCGTGGAGTACCACAGCGTCACTGCTCACCCCGATGGAAAATCAAGGGCTTCCCTTTTAGTCAAGCGACACTTCCTGCAGGGAGAAATAGATCTGTCTGACCTGAACACCACTGTTGCCGAACATGTCGCCGTCAAATTACAGATTGCTGATCAAACAGTCGTAATTATATCATCCTACATCCGACCAGCCCAATCGTGGGACCCAGACCTGCTGAGAGTAATAAGAGACCGATGCCCAGGGCCTATAGTCTGGTGCGGAGATTTTAATGCCAATCATTACGCCTGGGGAAGTGACACAACGACGAAACGAGGAACCGCACTGCTTGAAGTCACCAGAGACCTTGGACTACGTTGTCTCAACTCCGGAGCTCCAACATTCGTTCGCTCGAATCTACAAAAGGCGAGTGTACTTGACCTCACTTTTGTATCAAAAGAAATAAGCTTCCTATGGGACATCGAACCAGACACCTGGGGGAGCGACCACCTACCAATCCGACTCACCCCACGTTATGGCACCCAACCAAAAAGCAGGGTTCACAACATTACCAACTGGGACAGGTACAGAGAAGTGTTCTCAAATCTGATGAAAAGCACAAAGGCCCCTTGCTTAGAAGAAGCTATACTGACGTCCTTAAATATAGCTACAACAAAAATCACCCTCCCGATAAGCAAGCCCGTACCCGATCTTACGTATCTTCAAATACGCGCCAATGCCAGACAAGCACAGCGAATCGCCCGACGCACACACCAAGATGAAGATTGGATAAAATCTCGACGCATCGACGCAGCACTTCGTCGATATACCATAAGGCTGGGGAGACTACAATGGGACCAACGCAGTGAAAGTCTATCGACAGATACTGGGTCAAGGCGGCCTTGGACCACTGTGCAATGCCTCTTAGAACCAGTGACTCCCCAATGCCCCTATGCAGCAATTGCAATGGGAAATCAAACATCGCTCCAAGAACTGGCTGAACATTTTTCAGACGAGTTCTCACGCCCCATAAGCCCTCCCCAAGGAAATCCGCCTTCTAAAAGGCCCCCCCTTCCAACCTATTCAACAATCAACATAGACGATGACTTTACCTTGTCCGAGCTCCGATATGCCCTCTCCCGATGCCCTCGACGTGGAACTCCGGGTCCTGACCGCATCACAAACCAGGCTCTAAAAAACCTAGACGAGTCATTCCTACCCGGACTGTTACAACTTATAAACAATATTTGGCAATCTGGGGATGTCCCTGACACCTGGCGACACTCAGTAATAGTACCAATAAAAAAAACTAACAAGCCTGCAGCTGACATATCTTCGTACCGTCCGATTTCTTTGACTTCGTGCTTATGCAAAGTGACTGAGCGCCTGATCCACCGCCGTTTAAATTGGCGATTGGAACGAGCGCAAGCCTTTCCTTCTCAGCTGTCAGGATTCCAAAGAAGCCGGTCAACAACAGATGCCATGGGCGACATCGTATCGTCGTTAGAGCAAGCAAAGGCAGAAGGAAAGGTCATCCACACCGTTTTTCTCGACATCCATCGAGCATTTGATGCTCTGCCACACTCTGTAATCCTAGAACGACTACAGAACACAGGAATAGAAGGGCGCGCCCTTCGCTTCATTACTTCTTTTCTTCACAATAGAACATTCGCTGTCCGACTGGCTGGCCGCCTGAGCACGATACGAAGCAGCACCCAGGGGGTACCACAGGGCAGTGTTTTGAGTTCTCTGCTTTTTAACATCGTAATGGCTGGACTACCGACTGCTCTTCCTGTGGGTGGCCCTTATCCCATACACTGTGCCATATACGCGGATGACGTCGCGCTATGCTGCGCTGGGCCTACCCGACTGTCCACTACCGTCCGCGCAGTGCTACAACGAGCTCTAGATCGCACGGCCTCCTTCCTCCACCATGCCGGTCTGACACTCTCTACATCTAAGACACAAGCTCTCACCTATCGCCCTAAAGGCAGAATGAAAGGAAAATACTCTGCACTTAAAATTGGAGGCAATGCCATTCGACGTGAACCATAAGTTCGATACTTAGGCGTTATCATTGACGACCGCGTCACTTGGGGCCCCGCGGTAAAAGGTATCCTCAATGAGTCCCATAAGCTCCTCGGCGCTCTCCATCGAATATCTGGAAAAAACTGGGGTGCCAGACAGATGACAATGACGACACTCTA